ACTAACCTTTTCAATTGATGGAGATTCACCACAAAAAAAACTTGATATCGCTGGTGAAGAAGGGATATTAGCACAGAGAGGAAACGAAAGGTGAAGAACTTTGGAGGAGAGAAAATGAATTGAAGAGGCGGTCAGGGGTACTTATATGGCAGTTTTACCAACGGATTACCGACGGTCATATGCTAGTTTTATCGACGGATTACTCGACAGATAGAAAATTAATTATTATTTTTAATTTATTCCATCGGTAAATTTTGAATTTCACACCAAAATTTTTAATGTCCCTCCACATTTTTCGTGGTCCGTCGGTAAATTTTGAATTTCGCACCAAAATTTCAACTAATTATTTCAAGTAATAAATATTTTGTGTTTCAAAATATATCATCTATAATCTAAATTACATGAAAAAAAGGGTTTTACATAGGGTTTCATTTTGGTAGTTAGTCAGAATTTTCTTCTTCATCATCATCAATTGAATTGTCATCACCTTCATCGCAATCTTCAATATGAATATCATCTTCTTTATCGACAGTTGCTTGTCCGCTAGAGCTTAAAACAAAATACATATACTAAAAAAATAATAAAATTGACATTATGTTAAGATTTAAAAAGAAAGAATTACTTACAAAAATTGATAAAATCCGTTGGTAAATCAGAATACGGATGTTGTGACCACAAAACTTTAAGAAATATAACTTGATTTACTGATATGAGGGAGATTTTTGTTTAGGGGGATGGGGGGCTGGTTGTTTGCCGTTGGGGAGAGTTGGGATTAGGAAGAAGGAGGGAGGAGAGGGTCGACAGGTGAACATATATTAACTTTTCCTGATGGTTTCACCGACGGATTTTCCGTCGGTGAAACCGTCGATGATTCTGACGACACAATCGACACATCACCGTACGGATCTACTATTTCAAATCTGTTGGCAATATAAATGGCAGTCACTGTACGACCTGTCTTTTTGAATTCGTTAGTGATTTCTTCTGAAAAAATAACCCGTCAAAACCTCTATCGCCTCCCTTTTTTTTTTTTTTTACGACAGTGATGTTTCTGTTTGTAATTCAGTTGGTAGCTACTGATAAAAAATTTTTGTCGATAGTTACTAACTGAATTACAGATAAAATATAACTATTAATAATTTTAATTTTAAATTATCAATAAAAATATTTTATCGATAAATTTATTGTTATTTAGCGAATTTCTAGCAGTGATTTCATTGTTATTCCATGTGTGTTCGTGTCTAAATTGACCAGGCAAAGGGAACAGTGGACTATTTATCTCCTATGAAAAGCATCAAATCAGTTGTTTTTTCCGGACAAGATACAAGCGGCAAAAGGATGATTTTGCCTTCTTTTCTCTCTTAATATTGTCTGACATTGTCGAATTTAGTTGGGAGTATTGATAAAGGCTCATTTGTTTTTCACATATTTCTGTATTTACAGTGTTACAAATATAATTAGATGTTTAGAAATACACCAAACTACATTGTTTTATATTATCTGGTTCATCAAAAAATTGAATTTGAAATGTAAATTTTGTGAAGTAATTTTTATATATTTTTTTAATTGAGTTTCATAAAATTCTATTTATTTTTTAGTTTTAAAAGAATTTTTTTAATTTTAATTATTTTTATTTAAAATTATTTTTGTATTTTCAGATCATTTTAATGTGTTGATATTAAAAATAATTTTTTAAAAATAAAAAAAATATTTTTATGTATTTTCAAATAAAAAATATTTTTAAAAAGCAACCATAAACAAATATTTTATATAATTTTTTATACATGAATCTCAACTATAATTTTTATCAAATATATTTTTAAATTTAACTAATCATATTTTTTTAAACTACATGAAAGGTATCTTCAAAACAAACGCACTGAAGTATATTTAAACTTATTTTTAGATCATTATAAAAAAAATAACACATATATATATAGAAAGAAAAAGAAGAAAAAATTCAAATTGTCTTCTGACAACAAGTAGGGTGGTAGATTATACTAATAAATCTAAACAAAAGGTTTGATTTGATGAAAATGTAAAGGAAGCGCACATGCTTTTCAGCCAGTTGCAAACTTGTATTTGACGAACACAGATATAAATCTAAGATTCAGAAAGTCCGCTTGCCTAATGGCCAGATGATTTTGCCCAAAAAATATGAGATGAATTGGACAAAAGGAAATCCCAATCAAGATCATGCATGTGGGAAGAGATAGCTCTGCAGAAAGAAACTTTGGCAGGAAGCAGATGGTGCTGTCCTGGTGGGCTAGTTCTCTAACGTCTCTCTCACTGAAAATGCCAGCCTGTGAGTGGCTTTCATCACTTCAAGAACTCGCCATGTCAACCTAGGTGAAGTTACCATAAGGCTCCTCCTCTAGTTTCAGTCCTTCCCCCTTTTGTATGGAAGAGAACCTGGAAAAGATACAAAAGAACTTGTCGGTCCCAAGGCCAGTTTAGGGAATTCATAAACATCCAAAAAGCCATTTAGGGTAAACTTCAAATATGGCCCCCAAACATTTAGAATAGGATCGTTCTCACTCTCAGGCAGTTTCTTATGTCAGTATTATCGCTAAATAGTAAATAGTGATTCTAGTGTGTAGGAGAAAGTTATTCTAGCTAGGAAAGTAAACAATCTATTCTAAGTAGGTTAATCATCATAACTGTGATTACCTCAACCTCAGCAAACACTATAGGAAGAACATGTATTACAGTAGCTGTCCAATATCATTCCTTGAACAATGTATCTTGTATGAAAGCATCAAATCAGTTGTCTTTTCCAGACAAGATACAGGCGGCAAGAGCGTGATCTTGCCTTCTCTTCTCTCTTAATATTGTCTGACATTGTCAAATTGAGTTGGAAGTGTCCATAAAAGGGCAAGCACAACAATTAATCTATCCCCTTTTCCTTTTCGTTGACATGTCGTCCCCTGTAGAATGTGCTTGCTAGCCTTGGCTAATGTACTTCAATGAAAAGGATGGCGGTAGTTAATTACAGCATGTAACCTGACCACAAAAAGTAAAAAACTGCTTTGTGCGCGCGCCGCAAGAGATTCGTCCGCGGAATATCAATAGCCTGTGCACGGAATTTTGCTTCTGCGTACCATTAGTGGCATCCATGATTTTTTTTAATAAAAAACAATTAGCATGGCAAGAAAAAGTTTTTGATGGTACTATGGTTTTCTTTTTTAAATAAACTTCGATTTGTGCCCTCGTAGGTTCTTTAATGTTCTACTTCTAGTTTAAATCTTTCAATGATGCCCTTCTAATTTTCTAAGAGTTCCAATATTATTCTAACCATTTTATCATTAAATAGCCTACTATATAAAT